CGTAAGCGGCGCGCGCCGGAGGGCGGCGGCGGCGGCGCCGCGGCCCGGCGCGGGCGCGCAGGGGAGGCTGCTGCGGCGGCGGCGCCGGCGTATCCGCTGCAGCACTTTGCTGAGGCCCGACCGCAGGAGCAGCTGATGCTGCTGCCACCGCCCCCGTCGCTGCCCCTCCAGCTGCCGCCGCCTCTCCCACTGCAGCAGCCCTTCGGCGCATCCGCAGCCGATCCCCGGCTGCCCTCCCAGGCGGCGCCGCGTCCTGCGCCGTGGTGCGAGGCCCCTTCGTGGGAGCTGCTGCCTCAGCCGCTGCCGCAGCAGCCGCCGCAGCAGCTGCCGCAGCCGCAGCTGCTCGCAAGCGACCCTTCCGCCGTTGTCAGCGAGAGCTGCAGCGAGTTCAGCAGCTACCCCAGCGGCGGCGCAGATGCGCGGCACCTGCCTATGTTCATGGCGTCACTGGGCCTTGCTCCGGGGCTGGCGTGCGACCTGCAGCAGCGGCAGCTGCTGCAGCAGGAGCAGCAGCTGCTGCAGCAGCAGCAGCAGCAGCAGCAGCAGCAGCAGCAGCAGCAGCAGCAGCAGCAACAGCAGCAGCAGCAGCAGCAGCAGGCGGCGGCGGCAGCGTTTTTCCTGCAGCAGCAGCAGCAGCAGCAGCAGCAGCAGCAGCAGCAGCAGTTGCAGCAGCTGCTGTTGCTGCAGGAGGCGGCCTGCCCCTTTCAGCAAGAGGCCGCAGCGCTAATACTGCAGCAGCAGCAGCCGCCCGTGCCACCGCCGCACCAGCACCTCGCCAGCCCTTTCGCCTCCGCAACTCTGTGGAACGCGCCATTCGCCGCGGCCTCGGCCGCCGCCGCCGCTGCCATCGCTGCCGACGGCTCGCCTGTGGTCGATGCGGTGCCTGCACACCCGTGGGAGTCTGCCGCTGCCAACGGCTGGCTGGGGCCCGAGCTGCCCGCGCCCGCCGGCCCCCTCGGCCCCAACGCCGCTGGCGCCGCGCCGCCGCCCGGGGTCAGGTGGCCGGCCGCGGCGGCGGCGCCCGCTGTCGCCGCAGCGCCTGCAGCGGGCGTTGCTGCGGCTGCTGCGCCTGGCGCGGCAGAGGAGGAGATGGACACGTTTTTCAGCCTGCTTATGAGCATGGTGTGATGTCTTTAGTATAACATATGTCCCCCAGATGATGTCACCACCTCTGGGCGTCCTGTGCTTCCAGCGTGGCTAATCGCCTCCCCACTCATTGCTTAGCCCCCTCCCGTCACCTCCCTAGCTCGATGCATCCCTCCGGCTTGGCAGCCGCGCTCCTCCAAAACTTCACACCATCACACGACGCAACATCTGCACCTTGGACCTGCCATTCCTCTGCCCTGCGTTTTTTTTGTATACAGTACACCCCTCCTGGATGCCGTGTGCTGTGCGCCCACCCTATATTGCTCGCTTAAGCAGTACCCCGGCTTCGCGCCGCCCATTGATACGTACAGCACTGCTTTTCTGCATCCTGGGGAGTGGTAAAGTGTAATATGTTGGAGCGCGCGCACAAATCTCGCGCGCGCAGCACTGTTTCGACGCCGCCGGCGCCACCTTCGAATGCACACACGCACGCACGCACGCACGCACGCACGCACGCGCTCGCGCGCACACACGGCACGGCGCGGGGCGGCACCGAGTCTTCCGCTGGTTTGCCAGCATCGCACTTTCCTGAGAGCTTGAAGATCACACGACACGCCACTTGGGCGATTACAATGCAGGCAGCCAAACCGGCCGCCTCCTTTCCTGCACACACACACCAGCTTCTGCACTCACCTGTTTCAAGCCACCCCTTGCACGCTGACCTTCCTTTGCTCGCACGCACCCGGCCTGCTTCTGCCGACGCGCGAAAGCGGCGGGCAGTCCCGCGCAGTCTTGCGCGCCCGTGCGGGGGTGACGGCCCGGACTTTTGAGCTGCCGCTCGCATGTGCCGGCGGCAGCGTTTTCGACTAACGACGGCAGGGGTTCTTGGACTTTGGGGTCAATGGAGTTTCCTGGGTGTTTGCAGCCAAGTGCGAGGGGCAGGGTCGCTTGCGCGCGCACCTGTTTCTAATCCCATCCCACCGCATCACACCTGCGCCCGCGGCACGCACAGGGCGGTGCCACACGCGCCGCCCCCCACCATTCCGCACCTCAGCGGTTGCAGGCCGCTCGGCGCGCCGCGCTTCTCCCAGCCACCAAGTGTGCTTTTCTCCTCATCTATGAGTCATGGTTACTGCACCCCTGGGCGCCCTCCCAATCGAATTGACGCCAGCATTGATTATCCAAGTGCCAAGATGGCTTAGCTTGAAGTGTCATGGAAATGTAGCTCCACTCTCACGACCCTTGTCGGCTCCAAAGCGGGCGGGCGTCTTTTGATCACAATAATGTAACACCCTCGAGTGGCCTGCTCTTGTCCTCGGACATTGCATTCCTGTCGCAGCACGGCGGGGCTGGCCTAGGGCCATGTCGTGCAGCGCACCACATGACCCGCATTTACACCCGATTTCGCGCCCTCTCAAGCGCATGGCACGCCTTCAGCACTTGCTGACTGACCCCCCGGCGCCCACACTGCCTGCCCCGTTTGCATGCACTGCCTAGTCACCTTGCTCTCTGCGTTGTGGAAGAACCGGGGGTTGGCGGGCGCTGTTCCTGGTACAGGGGAAGCCTGCATCAGGATCCTCAGGGATGAAAGTGTATAAAAGGCTGCGGACCATCTCTGCCGTGGCTCTGTGCCGTTGCTGGGACCGCTGAGCTGCCATATGGCAGCTGCATGTATGCAAGCTGACGAGCTGCTGCCAGGGCGCGCCATGCTGACCGCTCGGGCGCAGAGACACCGCAGCGATGTGAAATTCGGTTTTACTGCAGCACTTTTTGCATTGCAGGTGGAATCGTGGATCCATTTTGCATGGCTCTCTGGGCCTGGCGCTTTCTTGATTTCTGGGCGTCAGGCTCCGGCTGTGCGTAGCACACGCAAGTGTGTGCGCAGCGGCGCGCTTTGTTTCTTTGACGCTTCACACATTGTACACGTGATCAAAAGGTTGTATATTACTTACTTTTGTATATACTTGATTGGGCCGCTGGCCCCAAGCGTCATGGCCCAGGAACAGCCAACGGGCTTTCACCTGGACCTGCGGCCTCGGCAGCAGCTGGCAGTTTCCATCAGGATCTGTGGAGAGCTGCGTCAAGCGCTGCTCGAAGCGCAGAAGTGCGGCAGAAGTGCGTCGCTCCGGTTTGAGCAGGACCGCCGAGGGCAGGTGCGTGGCCAATTTGTTATTCGACATACGGCAATCGAGCTTTGTTCACTTCACACACGCAGCGGCAGAGGCTGGCTGCGGCACCGAGGCGCTGCATGCCATGCCGCTGGCTCTGGCGCCGCACTCTGCGCACACTAAACAATGGCAGCACGCTCCTGCACATGCAGCTTCTCACCAACCGCATGCGCTTGTTACCTGCACGCCTGGCCGCTCATCCGCCGCCGCTGCCCCTTGGCCCCTTGGTTCCGTCCCACTCACCCGTTGCCTTGGCCCGATCAGCCGCAAACGCCCGATTCCCTCCACCCCTGCCTGCGGCCGAACGCTCCGGCCACCGCAACGCCGCACGCCCCGCCCCCTCCCCCACCCGCTCCTCAGCATGTCGCCGTGCTCTCTGTCGGCGGCCGCCAGCACGCGTTTGGCGTGCTGCCCGACGGCGGCGGCGGGAAGGGCGCGGCGGCGGTGGTGCAGCTGAACACGGATGAGGGCAGCGGCGTGGTCGCGGCGCCGGTGGTGCACAAGCTGCAGCGGCAGGTGCGCACCGTGATGCACGCATGCGGACGCATGCACCCTCTCGATGCATGCACCCTCTCGACCTGCCGCGGCCAATCGCATGCAGCGCGCGCGAGCATACCCGTGCGCATGCGGTAATGGGACCCCTCAGCGCCGCCCCGCGCGAGCCGGCGGAGGGGAGGGCACGCCCGCTGCCCTCCAGCCCTGGCACACGCCGCGAGGTGCTTTTGTGCTGCTGCGCCGCATGGCGCCCGGCGCCCGGCGCTGCGGCCCCGGCCCCAATGGCCGCCGAATCGCGCCTGGTCACCCCCTTCCCGCACAGCTGGGCCCGGCGGACGCGCGGCAGCTCGGCAGCCGCCTGCGGGCGCTGGAGGCGCAGGAGGGTGCCAAGGCGCGCTCGCGGCAGGCGGTCTTGCTGGACGGCCCGGGCGGGCAGCAGCAGCAGCAGTCTGGTGAGGCGATGGGCACTGCGGCTTGGCTGAGGGGGTCGTGCTTCAGTTGGGTGTTGGTATCTAAGTCTGGGTTCGCGTCTGAATAGTATGGGCTGTGGAGTATGGCAAACGGGAGTGCGTTATCAGGAGCAGAAGCGGCAGGAGCAGCAGCAGAAGTGGCGGCCGCAGTTAGGAGCAGTTGGCCTGCCGGCCAGCCCGGCCGAATGACTCGTCTGTGAGATGAGGGGAGCCGTCGCTTCACAGCCTTTAGAGCAATAGCTGCGTGGTGGTGGCTAGGGCAGCCGGGCATTGGCGCAGGCGGGGCGTGGCATGGTGCTGTGGTCGCCGTGCGGGCGTGTGGGGCGGTTTTGCCCCGTGAAACAGCAGCGGGCGGCGGCGGCGGCGGCAGCAGCGGCAGCAGCGGCAGTGGTGGCGGTGGAGCATGCAGCATGAGCTGCAGCGTTGGCAAAGTGCCCGCGCGGCCCAGCCGGCCGCTGCGCCGTTGGCCCTCGTTGCTGCGGCTCGGCCGCCTCCTGGTCCCCCCCCCCTTCATGGC